TACAATCAGAAGCCAAATATTTTTAAACTACAATTTAAATATAGTATATATATAAATATAAAAATATAATATATAAAATAAAATTATAATATCGTAATAATAATTGTAATATGTAATAATATCAAATACATAATATTATAATATCAATTATTATTAATATAATAATATTATATATAATATATATACTATATAACATATTATATATAAAATACATATATTATATATATACATATTTTTTATATATATATATATATATATATATACACACACAATATATATATACACAATATATGTATTATATAAAACATATATTACAATTCATTTTTTGGCCTCTCAGCTTTTGCCATGCCATAGTGTAAATGCTTTAAAGTTCATTATCTAAAATTACTCCTCGTGGCTTTTACTCTAATGCATCATTCACAGTTCTATTTCTCTAAAGTATTTAGTTTTATTCGTGAGGGCATCCTTTGAAACTTGCTCCTAGTTATATTTCTCAACAAAGTCTGTCCTATTCTATGGCATTTCTAAGTTTCTTATCTCAAGTCTTGCAAACTGTGAAAAGTGCATATTATATGGCTCTAGGTAGATATTTACGATGTGTATTATGTTGTATTGATTAGTAGTGCTGTATTAACATTTTAATAGGATGGTAAATGTAGTTTTGTAGTTAAAATGGAACTTTTGTAGTTAAAACGGAAACTATGGATGTGGGATATTTTTTTTAAAGAGAGGAATGAGGTACTTGTACTGAGATAGCAGCCACAGGACACCTCAATCTTTCAGAAAAAGAGAATTTATTGCTCCGTTATCAGTAGAAATTTCTTCCCACCTTGCTCACGTTAGGATTCAGAGGAAGAAGCTGACACTGCCCAGACAGAATCCTGTGTTTGAATGGAATTTATGCATCATGTATGAGGTGTATGAATATGCAACAGGTTATTATTTTAAGGGTTAATCCTCTGTTAACGGGGTTCTTTTTTTGGGCTTATTTTGCCCAGAAAAGGTACCTGGGCTGTCTGTAACTCTTTATTCTTATTATCTCTTATTGTCCTAATCTCAATTGACCAAATCTTTATAACTCTAATTATATTACTATTTTAACAATCATTTTATTACTATTAAACTTTTAAAATTCTAAAACCAAGTGATTGGCCTTTTTCACACAAACAGATGCAAACCTCTCAGTTACCCCATCTCCAAGTCAAAAAAGAACAGAATCCGACACTTGTCCATCATTTCCTCCTGCAGCGCCACAACTTTAATTCCATTTATTCCAGAACGGAACCGTGTCCTACTCTTCTTTTCCAGGAGAAATTTATTTTTCCGGGCAATCCCGAGCCCAGCCCAGCTCAGAGGAGCCTTGCCCATAAGGGCTGGTCCTTGTTCTCCTCCACGTGTGCCCGGGAATGTCCCCACGTGGCGACACCGCTGCCATCCCGGGGACACCGAGAGGGGACAGAGCCCCATCTCCACCTGCTGCTCTCCCAAACCTGACAGAAAATCGGGATCGGGGATGGCTGTGGTCTGTCCGGGGACTCACACCCAGCCAGGACAGCGGGACATGTCCCCAAAACCAAGGCTGACCCAGCCACCCCTTCAGCGCTTTGCTCACATNAAATTCCATCACAGATCCCAAATTCCAACGCTGATCCCGAATTTCAACAGTGATTCCAAATTCCAACTCTGATCCCAAATTCCATGTCAAATCCCAAATCCCATTGCTGATCCCAAATTCCATCACAGATCCCAAATTCCACCACTGAACCCAAATCCCATCGCAAATCCCAAATTCCATGTCAAATCCCAAATCCCATCACCGATCCCAAATTCCACCGCAGATCCCAAACTCCATCGCCGATCCCCAATCCCACAGCCGATCCCAAATTCCAACGCGGATCCCAAATTCCATTGAGAATCCCAAATCCCACCGTGAATCCCAAATTCCCGTTGTGGATCCCAAATTCCAATGCCGACCCCAAATCCCACCCACGATACCAAATCCCCAACGCCAATCCCAAACCCCACCACCGATCCCAAATCCCACCCTGAAGCCAGAAGAGCTTTGAAAAGTTGATTTTAAAATTTTGTAAAAACAAAATCCATGGTGGAAAATTTTAGATTTAATTTTTTGGAGGTTTTTTGGGGTTTTTTTTTTTTTTGGCTGAGTTGTGGCAAAACAATGAAACGGTCACAATGGAGTGAAAAAAATCCAGTGGTCAGAATATACCAAAAATTAAGTGGTCAAAGTAGAGGAAATTAAACTGAAATGGCCAAAATGTAGCAAAAATTATAAATATTCAGTGGCCACAACATAGATATAAAATTAATAAAAGTTTTCTCTACTTCTGGCCACTTAATTCCTATTTTTCCTACATTGCGGCCATTTAATTCCTTTTTAAAAATAGCCATGATGGAGCACAAAACTAAATCATTAGGAGGCCACAAATAGCAAAAAATTAAATTACTAAGTGGGCCCATGTACCAGGAAAAAATAACTTAATTGCTTTGCTATGCTCTGGCCACTTAAATGGTCACAGTATATTAAAATTTAATTAATTGTTTTAAAAGTGAGTGTAGGGGAAAATTATAAATTACTGCATTTGTAAGGGAAATAATGGTTACAATGCAGCAAATATTCTAAATTGAAATGCGGTGACTTGGTGAAAAGAATTCATTAAATGGATACAACATGGCTGGAATAGCTGTAAAATGGGTATGATGTAGGAAAATAAAATTATTTAGTAAATGGCCAAAGGAAAAAATATAAAATTAAAAATAGAAATGTAAAAATATATAAAAGTATGAAATATATAAACATAAAATATAAAAGTAATAAAATAGAAATCAAATATAAAAATAATAGCATATAATACAAAGACAATATAACATAATGTAATATCATATTAATATAATATAACATTAATAATATAATATAATTGCATATATTATATTGCATCACATTATATATTATATTATGAATATAATATAATATATATAATTTTATAATATAATATATTATAAATTACAATATATTATATTATTAAATTTATGTTATTTTATATTACGCTTATATTATATTATATTATGTTATATTATATTATATTTATATTATATTACATTTATATTATATTATAGTATAGTATAGTATAGTATAGTATAGTATAGTATAGTATAGTATATCACATTACATTATATTATGTTATATTATACTATATTATTCTATATTATACTATATTATATTATACTATATTATATTATACTATATTATATTAATATAAAATATAAAACTGATTTCAGTGTAGTAAAATAGGTCTGAATGCAATAAAAGGTGATTTAATGGCCACAAAGTAGGAAAAAAAATTAAAATAAATTACCCAAAAAATCACGAAAAAAACCAATTCCATTTATCCGCGGCTCAGCCAAACCCCTGAATAAATGAGGAAAAATGGGAAAAAAGCTCCCAAAGTCACCCTGAGCCCAGGAAAAGCAGAATTGAGCCTCACCTTCTTGGCCCAGGGGTAGCGCACGCGGGGCTTGCCCCACTCGTCGCTGAGCTTGTGGCGGTAGCCGTGGCACTTGGGGATGTAGGAGCAGCTCACGTCGCCCACCTCGGGGTAGATGATTTCCAAATCCCCCCTGGAAAAAGGGAACAGGGAGGAAAATGAGCCTGGAAGTGGGAATGGGTGCCATGGAGGGCTCAGGATGGGGTTGGGAATGCCAGCGG